TCAAGCCCAAAGTAATATTGCCGGTATCCAAATATTGCCCCAATCCGCTTCACGTCGCGCGTTCACTCTTTTGGTCGGGGAGTATAGGGCAATCTATCACTATGAACACTAAATACACAAAAAGCTGATTTCGATTGTTCTATGAATTTATTTTTCTGACCCAACAGATCTTGTCTATTTAGATCGATGATCGACGATAATCAGACCAGACCAAGACCGGTATGCGCCAAAATCATCCATGAAATATAGTTGGCGCCTTCCCAACCACGAAAAATACTTCACTGTTGCCATATTCCGAAAATAAAGCTGGAAATATAAATTAAAGATGACCAGTCCAAGTATACCTCAGTACTTCCCTACGTTGAAAGTGGATTCTTGCTATGTGGTTACACTCTCATTGGTGGCTGAGAAAAAATAGCCTTGTCGGTTGTTTAACATCATCAAGAGCTAGAGCATTTGCGAAATATACCGAATCTAACTATTGAAAAAGAATATTTCTGAAGATTTTAATAAAAGAACAATTCTATATCAAATACTTTTCATGGAAATATCAATATAGGATAGATATGTGGCTTGAATGCCACTATACTGCTGTCGCTATCAGGCATATGCCTGGGGCTGCCAGGTTCGTTGCATGGAACTGCACTCACTAACAATAATACAACTCTCAGCCTGCCACGAAAATAATATTTGATCAACCTATTTGTGATTATATAGCGCCTACTTATCGTTATTCAATATTTTGCTAAGTTTCTTCCTCTATGAGTATTTGTCAGACATCTTGCGTCCCAAAGATATGTTCAATGATTCTCACAGTTGCATGGGCTGTTGATGCAAACCCAAGTACATCATGTTAAAGGGGGGACAACTGAGAAGCTGCTTAACTAATATCCCCGTCTTCAAATATCAAGTTTGTATTCTAGGACAATAACACCTTCACAGCTCTCTAGTCTCAACTCTACTAGTCATCCTAACTATTCCCTGTCACCCTCTCTTATCTAGCTACCCGTCGATATTCTAAACATAATACGGGGTGATGGTACTGAATCACACGACATATATAATAATAATGATAATATAATACTTGTGATTAATGTAATTTGGTGGGTATCTCTGGAGTGTTTCTAACAATCAGGACGCGACAATCTCGACGACACGATAGTAAACGAATACTCCATCTCTTGAATTCAATATATTCTTCAAAATCTGAATTCGATTATCGAATTTACATATTCTGAAAAAAATTTGAAAAATAGTTATTTATTATACAAGGGAAGAAAGTAGTATACAAGGGAAAAAAGTAGTAGATTTACACAAATAACCGTGAGCTAAAATCTAATATTTTTCCCGTGTATAATACACTATTTTTTTATGTGACAGAAGAAAGGACGAATCAATATCGAGGAAATCTTACATTATTTTGAAATCTGAAAATTGTCGACGTGAAATTTCAAGTTTTTAACAGTAGGGACACCTGCGTTGTAGGCATCTATCATTCTTTTGAAGTATTCAAATATCTGATGTCACTTCTGTCAGTTTGATTCTGTGATTTGATTTCAAGAAATCGTGAATTTAGTGGTTGTTTAGTAATTTATGTAACCGCGAAGTCGAATGGAAGATAAAAGGACTTGCAGTTCTTTCTCGGAGAAGGTATTATTGACTCATCTTTCGGAACTATAGCACAACAAAAGCTATCAACAGTGTATATATATGTGATTTATATCCGGGAAAAAAGTACTCACTTCTTTCCCACATGAAAAAAGTAATTTATGAAAAGTGACATTTTATAACCTGCCAACAGAGATGAAATGCCAAACTTTTTTCCCGTCACAGAAACAAGACTTTTGTGTCCCTCTCAGTGATAGTAGATCTGAGTGCTTCGGTTGTTACCAGGATTGATGGAATGATAAAGGTGAGTTTATTCAAGGTCTTTTTACTGAAATATAAATATTTCACATTCACTTCAACATTTCCGTCTTTTTGGTCCAATGAAATTTTCGAATTGTGAAATTGTTTCCAGAGCTATTTTATAGAATCTGATCCAAAAAAGAATTGTGAGCAAAAATGTTCATGTAATGTAATAAAATCATTTGAATTATTTCACGGGTGAACATTTCGCATATCTGATGTACGCATCTGCGTGATAAGTTGCCTACTTTTCGAAATACATTGCTTCCAAAAGTTCCCAGAAAATATATGTCATTCATTAATTACTCAAAAACCTTTTTTCCTGAGGGTGAATCAATCAATATGTAATGAATTCCATCTTTGTTCCGAAATTTTCTTCAGAAATTTATGAATTGCTATTCCAACCAAATAGGGTAAAAATAATGGAGAGTGGAATTGGATTTCAGTAAAAATTTCACCTTTTTTCATGACAACAATCCTGGAAAACAACCGAATAACTACAGCAAGAAGGTCATATGCACCTATTTATGTACTCACCCACCTTTATTAGCAAAGTTCTCTATCTATATGATTATAAAATTGCCCTATTCTTCCATTATTAGATGTATTCACTAGTGGTAGGAAAGTCAGATACCTACTACAGTAACATAGTTTAGTAACCATATGCAGATTCACTCGCTAGTGGTGGCAAGGTACGGAATCTAATAATCAGCAAAGTCGACTTTATCATCACAGGTGATAATAACTCGCTTGTCCTCGATGCTATTAAACTTTTTTGCTGGGATAATTCGATTTCCAGCTATGAATAATGAAAATGTGCCTCCATGTGCGGTTTTCCACAAGCTTGATCCAACTGGACTTGCAACGTAATTTCGATTCACTACTGGTCATCCGACAAAATCTGAATTTGAAGTTCATATTTGCAGTGACAATGCAGTATGGAATGTCGATAGGTATCTCGATAGGTATATAAAATAAAAAATGGTAGTTCCAAGATCGCGAACAAGATTTATGATCATGGGCAAAGATATTATATAACTACTATCTAGAAGCTATTGTATTCCTTTATATCTCAGCGCAGAGTTTTGAAATTAGGAAGTCATGAATATTTTATCGAAATTCATTTGGACTAATTTTCCATGGAATGAAACGACATGAGCAAGTGATTTTATCTGAAAAATGATACTGTTCGATTAAGTATCTGATTTTGTCGGGATCTCAACCGAATATTTTTTCAGAAAGGACAAAAGAAAGTTTAGGCTAGCTGACACCTGAACTCCTTCTGGAATCCACCAACCATAATCCATCAATTCTGACCTTAAACTGCTAGGCCTTAGCCATGACATGAGTTCGAATTATAAACAATCAATTGATGATAATAAGAAGAATATTCACTCTCCATTATACATTCAACATTCAATATCTAAATATTTTCTATAGATTTTTTGCCAGAATGAGTAATTTTCATTGAATCACAGTACCTATCAATCACAATATGATATAATAATATAATCACATGAATCACAGTAAACAACAATTATCATATTCTGAGTATCAATCACGAATAATCCGAAGTTGTGCATTGGCTGTATACATATACATATTTCAATCGTATTGAACATAGTACATATATGAGGATACAATATGAGATTTGAAATCGAAGGTAGGGAATGATGTGCACAATAATCGGGTTTTAAAGATTTCTATATTCAATATATTTCTTTATAAATGAGCTGAAATGAGATATCAGGAAAGCAACTTAATTTTGTATAACCAGTTTGATGTGATATTATATGTCTAATTCCAATGCACTTTTATTTTCGTTAATCATTTCATGTATAAATGATCTATCAAGATTTGAGGGTGTATAAATCAAATTTTCTCTTCAGCAGGTTAGTGCAGCTCGAGGATATAATCAGCTGTTTTATCTTAATATCTAGATTATAATCTAGATTATCCAGGATCCAGATAAATCTTCAGTCATCTCTGACCGAACAACTTTGGCGTTTCAGAGGGGAAGAACTGAACGCCTTTTTGAATACTTGCGAGGATCTTTTCGGCAGTGCCGAAAGCTGTATGTTTTTTTTTTCTCTTTTTTTTTTTTTCGCCGAAGTAGTTGAAATCTTTTATAGACATCATATGGGTCCAATCCCCCATATGATAGTGTGGGAGTCCCCTCCATGGTATACCCACTAAACACTCCACCCCGTTGTAGGCTTCGACGATACTTAGGCCTATAGTGGCCCATTGTATCTCACCTACATGCCGTTATCAATTTTACCACATACGACTCATGGTGCCTATTAAGGGCTACTTCAATATGAAATACCCTTTTCGTTCAAGTTCCTGAAGATTGCTCTTCCGATCCCTGTTCTCGTCTACGAAGAAGGCCAAAAGTTTTCCTTCTCCTACGAGTGACGGGGGAAGGGGTTGGTCCAGCCCTGTGGTGCCCCCTGCACAGGGCTAAGGCTGTTTGGTAGAGGTTGATATGGTCACAGTGTATATTTTCAAATGAAAAATAGTGAATTTGTAGTCTAAGCGTCTCTGGTCAGTTCAGCTGTCGCGAACCGAGTAACCACTTCGAGTGTCGAGAAAAGACTGATTATCTTGATTGAGGGTTGTTTTGAGAAAGTGAAATCGGTTCGAATACCCTCTAGCACGTTTCTGAGAAAGAGATCATCGTCCTGGTAGTGTAACTCAAGTTGAAAATGAAATAATTAGTAAAATCCGAATCATTTGTTCGGTATCTCTAGATTGGATTTTATTGGGGTACACTAAGCCTGAGAATACGATCATAAAATCGTTTCAAATTGGTAGTCGACAAACAATATTTGAGTTTTGGGAAGGTCAGAATCTGTTTTGTTAATTTTATGCTTGGAGATTGCTTCGACTTGAAATGTCATGAAGATATATACAGGGTGTACAATTTACATAATAGGAATGAACAATATTTACAATTGATATCAATAGATATTTACAAAGTGAGATCTCAATATTATATATATAATATATATATATATATACCTGACAGAAAAATATACAGTGGAAATATTATTTCCCACATAACCATCCCTTATCTTTTCGTTTTCCAGGCGGCATTTCCAGTATAATCTCTGTTCTCCGGAAACTCGCGGAGAGCCGGCAACGCCGTAGACCGGCGTCGCGAGCGTCGCTTTCGCTGAGCGGGCTATGACGACGCGTCGCGACGCGGTCCTCGAAGGTGGTGCTCCTTGGGGTTTTCGCATGCATGGTGGCGTCGATCAGAATCAACCTCTGAAGATATCTAGGGTGAGTAGCTGGGATTGGACGTCTATATTAGTTTAGCAGCCGGAGATTGTTTTAATTTTGGGTGGTGAAGCTTTTTGGTGATTTTCTTTCATCATTTCGTCGCATGTCGGTCAAGGTTGATTGCAATAGTTAATGACTATTTGTTGTCATGTTAGGCGGCTTGATCTGTGTTATATTCTACTTGAAGTGAGCTGAGTTTTATAAAAGTATATGTTTTGTTCACTTGTTCGGATCAAGCAATAATCAAGGGTTATGGTGACTTTTTTTATTCACTAAGCCGGTTGTAACTCAAGGTTTATTGCAAAAGATGATATGTAGACAATCACTCATCTCATCACTGAGAAGTGTCAAACTCGAGGTCAAACTATAAGCAGAGCACGACAACTTCCATAGAAAAATATTTTGCATTTTCATATTGAGAACGGAATCAGATTCGTTCCCGAAACGTCCAACTTCGATATATCTTCAATATATCTATATTTCTTTCCTTCAAATATTTTTTCAAAAAAGTGTCACTGGCGATTTTTCTTTAGGCTCCCTGATAGAAAAATTTGTTAAACGCAGTGACATTTTGGGGCAAATCATCTGATTTGTTCCACTACAAATATATTGAAATAATAAGCATATTTTCATTTTGTAGAAACGAGGAGAGAAAATCTCAAAAAATCAAGTAAAATGTATGTTCCTATTCTTTATCTCAGAGCAAATTTCTACCTTTTTCAAAAATATAGTTTAATACAATATTCATAGTTCAACTTGCAATACCATAAATGAATGAAAGAGAATACGAAAAAAATTTGAATCTCGTAATGAACTTCAACTTATCAGTGTTCTTTGACAAGTTGATATGTCTCTCATCATTTCGAATAAAATATTACAAATTGTTGCCAGAGGTGCATTCTACTAGTATTTTCATTACATATACTGAACTTATGTTTCTGAAACAATAACAATACTGAAATAAATCGACTTTTCAGAGATTACTGAAAGTTGTTTTGGTTGTTCCAAGGTATAGGTCATGAATTTGTACCAGACATACATGTCTACATCTAAATTATACTGAATAATCTGATCAAAATGAATTTGTCAACTTTAAACCATAAAATCGAACTGTATTATTGCAGATGTATTTTCTAAAGCGTTGAAAGTTATTGGAACTGGAATTTTTGGTAAACCAGTCTGCTATGAAATTGCACATTACACTTTTAAAAAATAGATCACTGGCATTGTGCCACCGAATTTATCCTCATTCTATAATGATTCGATGATAATATATCGAAACATTACTCAGTCTCAGGTTAAATGAAACCTAAACAGAACGTAAACGAATGAAGCATAAATAAATGGAGATGTTTGTACAAGATGCATTTTTATGCAATCTGTTATTTTTCAGTCTACGACGCGGTCGTGGTTATGTTACTTAGTATCAAAAAATTCAAATGGGATCAAAATAGACTCATACCTTTCGTATTAGTCATACACACTGATGAACATTTGAAGTAGGTAAGTAATTGGTTCTCAAAATATTGGTTCAGTTGGAACAATCATTGCACTCAACAACAATATCAATAGGTAGGATCAAAATATCAAATGAGAATCGTACTTTTTTGCCATTTACTAACGTAGGTAGTTCCCTAAGTAGGTTTTACCTACTACATATCAAAAGAATATATTGAATCCCAGAATCAGAAACGTATCATCCGTAACAGCAAAGGATGCCATCAACCGAATGTAAAATTAGACATACAGAGTCCTTCAATTTATTTTTCGATGAAATAGAGTGGCTGATGTATTTGTTCTTCAATAGTCATAATAACTGTTGTGAATCTAATCGTATTATATTAATATTGCTTGCTGCTGGTGATGAAAACTACACCCACGCAAACAAAAGACTCTCAAGAGACTCAACTTATCAAAAATTTTATAGTTTTGAACGCCCTTGTACAAATACAAATGTACAAATCATCTTTCATATACAGAGTGGGCCTTTGAAAACGAAACAGAGGCTCTGTAGGTCGCCAAAACCGGATTATGAAAAGAATCTGAAACACGTCGACTACGTTTTCGAGGGGGACATCGTCCTACAATATTTTCAGCCCTGCGGCGTTGCCGCTGCTAACGAAAAGAAGCAACAACTTTGTTATTTCAAATGGAACACCTTGTATTTCATTGCATTTTTAGATTCTCCCCGAAGAGCTGATTTCATCAATGCATCACACTTGGGGTCTAGCTGTAATGGTTTCAGGGATATAAAGTGTTCAAAATCGAGATTTTTCAACTTTGACATTTTTTTGTGTCGAAACTATTCATTATTGGTCGAAACGGCTCTCATGTCCCTATCTCAACTTGTGATTAACTATCTACTGCCATTTAATTGGAACAGATACAGGGTGATCAGAATTCTGAATCTTGAACCACCATAATATTGATTTTCTACCCACATAACTGAAATGGTATTCAGCGTACGGATATGTGCCACGCTAAATGATCGATTAATCACACATTACCATGGCAACACAGTTCATTAAACACAGCTTCAGTAATTTGAGAAATGTCTGGCCTGTCAATTGTAGGAACTGTCCAACTGTCATTTTCGAATTTTGTATCAGAATCATTCAAACAATTTCCGTTTGTATCAGAATTATTCATTAAAATATAATATGCGAAATGTAGACGAAAGTGAAATCGAAGAGAATGTTTTGGTACTTGCAAATCTTCAAGAAGTGTGAAAATGAAGCATTCATCTTTGAGAAAAATGTATTAATTCTGCGCTAAGCATGACAATAAACGTGAAACCAAGGTTATAGTAAGCAATGGACTCGACACATCCACAACCAATATCACTTTTACGTGTCTCGCTGGTTGCATGCAGTTGCATGTATTATGTTCTCAATTCCAATTCCTTCCGAATTATTTTGTAGGTTAGCAGGAATAACAGGTTTGTTAATGTAATTTTCGGAGTTCGTAGAAAAAGCAAAGTATGTAACGCGTTTATAAACTCTCATAGATACTCGTTTATTGAACACTCGCTCCGCTCTGCTCCGCTCGTGCTAAAAATACTCGTTGCTAAAAGGACGTTTATAACACTTGTTACATAATATACTATTTTCCACCACTAGCTATGAAACATACCATTATTTACTCCTTTTCGAGGCATAAAGTGTGTTTTTACTACCAAGGTAGTTTCCGTAATTTTATTAACCACTAGTCAATAAAGGCATAGCCACCTCCGTTATAATCAACCCGAATCCACTGTTTCGATGCAAGATTTTACTATTCGGAAATATATCTCGATAAAAAGAATTAACGTGAAACGCTCCTCAATTCCTTTGAGCATGAAAGAATGATCTGAGATAGGAATTCAAAAATCTCAATATGTCGAAAACCTTGAGGTTATTCACTGAGGTCATTTTACGGATTTCTGATAGGTTATGAACTTGTTTATTACCAGCTAGAGTATATGATCTATGGTTTACCGTTCACCCTGTATAAACAAGCCATCATGCTCTCGAACTAAAGTATATATTCTATGAAATAATCATCTCCATGTCTGTAACTGGTGTGAAAAATTGATGTCATATAGCGCCCATTTGTCTATATGCATTAAAATGGTGATTTAACAGTGGAATTATTACTTGTCATTAGGTATATTTCATTCGCTTGATCAACCGGTGTGAATTATATTATAGCCTTACAATTGTTATCCATGTGAGAGCATGAAATTGCAATGTTACATTTGATTACAAGAGCGGTTCATTTTTTGCCCAATCATTCAATTATTATTCCGATTGCATGAATTGCCCTTCAGCTCTTCCCAAGTTACCAGTCCACGCCAGATATACAGGGTGATCCACGGTGGATGGCCTATTAGAAGTATCTGGAGAACGAAAAGACAGACCATTCTGAAAATTGGGATGCTTCGATAATTGAACATTCTCTATCCGTCTAAAATATTTCTATCGATACAGTGTTGCCACTTCTATCAGAAACAACTAGCAACTTTGTTATTTCAAATGGAACACCCTGTATTTTATTGCATTGCTGATATGTCAAGGCATGTTTACGGATAGACTAACGACTCATGGGTAGAGAATATCATGAACAAGTCTGTCTTCGTAAAGCAATGTGTACCTCAATTTATGTAAAAATATGACATTCCTTGTTTTTTCCCTCCACCCTTCGAATATGCCACCGAGTTACTTCCTTTTCTAGGACGCTAGTAAAATGTGATAATGTCGTCCCTTTTTCATGTCTATACATGGTCTAAAGCGAGCGACAAGTCATGATGGCATCTTGTTTTGTTTTTTCGCATCGAAAATGATTTCCAGATGGTACAGGGTACAGCAGGGTAATTCGATATAGCATTCAAGAGGCGTTTTCATTAAAATGACTCGAATAACACCATTCGTTGATTTTTATAGATGAGAGCAGCAAAACTTTTAGTTTCATATATTATGCTTCGGGATTCGATGTTGATGATGAACTTTCTGAGTGTTATAGGCTGTAGGATGTTATAAGTGCGTGTGTGTGTGTTCTGTTCTTCCTCTACTATTCGAATGAATAGTTATAATTCCAACCCAACTACCTATCTAACTTCTACAAGTTGTTGAAACTGCTATACAGTGTGTCCATTTAGTGCGTAATTCTTCGATATCTCCAAAGCCATGACCTATAGAAAAAAACTTTGAAGGAAAAACTTCTTCAGTTACTCAAGTTGCTCATTTCAAAAATATTTTCAACATCACTGGGTGTTTTACAAAAGCGGGATGACGCGGAGACGAGTTTTTTTTTATGGAACACCCTGTATTGTTTATTCGGAATTCATTCCGCCGAGGTTTACCTTCACATCGCTGTAAAAAAATTGAAATCGGTTACGGCGTTGCCAAGTTATAATTGATAAATCTATATTTTCACCACTATTGAAGAGTCATGTTGAATTGGGCATGGTATATTCATTTATTCAAATTATGAAAATATTTTTGGCATACGGTAGTAACAAG